GTTTCTGGCTTATTCTGCCTTCAGTCAGAAAATCATAACCCTGACCACCAGCAGCTGAGACCAGAAACACAAACATGCTTGCCTGTTCGTGACCTTTGCCACACATACGGAGCTTGTTTGCTTTGTGAAGCCATTAGATCGGTGTGCCCTCCGCTCAGCACGCAGATGGGAGACCTTCGCGAAGCGGGAGTCCTCCACCTACGCTCAGCTGAAATTCCTGCACAGGTGCCTTGATGAGGACGTCTTACCGAAATGCCTCAAATATAGACCGCCTGTGAACACTGACCTTTGCCGACGGACGATGGCAGACTTCAAGAAGAAAATGATCAGGGTACTGATACGAGACTGCCACGCCCTCATCCACAAGTACCGCCAGATGATTGTACATCATTCGTCAACTTGCCAGTCGATCTTTACGGCACACGAGCTAGAGGTCCTCAAAGCGGCAATTCTGGACAGCGCACGGCGTCACCGCAAGTTGCGTGATGACCAGTTGTCTGGAAAATTTGAGAAAATAAGTCCGTCAAAGCAGCCCTCTACTGACGGTGCCTTGGTTCACAACTTGTCCTCTCATCGTTTCACTCAGCAACAACTAGCGGTTCTATCCTATGACGCGAAGTTCAACACAAGAGATGCTCGACCAGAAGACTTTATTGCATCCTTTGAATCGGCGCTCCAGAAGTGTGAGGCAGGCGAGGAGTGCAAAAACGCCATGCGACAACAAGTGTCGACCTTACTACTCCAACACAAACGCCAGATGACGATTTCTAAAGCAGAAGATCGAGAACTTCTGAAGATACGAAAAAGGAAGGATATCGTCACCCTGCCCGCCGACAAGGGGCGCTCGACTGTCGTCATGGATAAGGCTGAGTACTGCACAAAACTAGGCAACCTCTTGATGGACAAGGAAGCTTATGTGCCATCGACCGTCAGCGAGTTTAAAAAGCTCGTAAACAGCATAAACAATACGATCGGCAAGCTGAGGAAGGCGGGAGCTCTTACGAGAAGGGAGGCGTTGGCCGCAAAAGCCAGTGATACCGCGATGGCGCGCTTCTACGGCCTACCAAAGGTCCACAAGCAGGGGGTACCGCTACGCCCCATCGTCTCCTTACGTGGTACTCCAACCTTTGGGCTGTCAAAGTGGCTGTACCAGCGACTTTGTTTCCTTACCAAGGATTCGCAGTGGACAGTGAAGTCAGCTGAAGAGTTCTTGACGCGAATCAAACATCTCGAAGTGGAGGCAGATGAGGTGATGGTGTCATTTGACGTGATCTCATTATTCACCTCCATCCCACCCGCGCTGGCTATCGACACTATTGATGGCTTTCTCCGGGAAAAGTATGATGAAACCGACCAACAGCTCAAACGAGCACACATCATCGAGCTCCTAGAACTGTGTCTTAAGACCTTCTTTACATTCAACGGCCAAGTCTACGAGCAAAAGAAGGGGACACCGATGGGCTCGCCTCTGTCTGGACTAATTGCCGAAGCAGTTTTGCAGAGACTCGAGCAGCAGGTCTTCAGCTCGTACCCCCCGAAGTTCTGGGCCAGATACGTCGACGACACGTTCATTGTAATCAAGAGGAGCGAGGTGAACGCTTTCAAGGCATTGTTGAACTCCATCTTTCCCGATATTCAGTTTACTATGGAAGAGGAAGTCGACAATCAGTTGCCCTTCCTGGACGTACAAGTTACGAGATTGACAGACGGGAAGATAAGGACAACGGTTTACCGTAAGGCAACAAATACCAGGCGCATCCTCCACTTCCGAAGCAACCACCCTGTTGGTCATAAACGCAGTTGTGTCAGAACTCTCTTTCAACGTGTTCAAACACACTGTAGCGACGACAGTGGGAGGAAGGAGGAGATGAATTAATTACTTACACGCCCTTTTCAAAGCCAACGGCTACCCGAAGTCCTTCATACGCAATTGCCTCAAAAAGCCTCATTTTGAGCGGTCGAGTGGAGAAAAGCCCAAGTTCTGGCTCTCAATACCCTATGTGAAGAACGTATCAGAGGCAACGGCAAGAATCCTGAAACCGTTTGGGATTGGCGTGGCTCATAAACCAGAATGCACCATCAGACAGCAAATCATGAAGCCCAAAGACCCGCTACCAACAACAGAACAGTCGGCGGTGGTCTACAGCATACCATGCCTAAATTGCAATGTAAGGTATGTTGGTGAAACGGGCAAACGCCTCGGTACAAGATTGCACGAACACCAACTTGCAATCAATCGCAAGGACAAGCTGTCTTTGGTCTATGGCCACATAAGAGAACTGAACCACGATTTTGCCCTTGAGAAAGCGAGGGTAATTGGTCGAGCCAATGAGAAGATGGCCAGACTGGTGCTCGAAAGTTGGTCCTCGACTGGTACACTCAACCGAGCTATAGATCTACATCCCGCCTACCAGGCGCTTCGTACAAGGCTCGGATCAGACCGGACAAGACCAGTAAAGCAAGCGAGCACGCGGGACCGAGAGTCAACGCTCACGGAAAAGAGCAGAATTGGGGGCCAGAGGTCATGTGACCAAAGCCGAACACTGTCTCACCGATGCGCCCGCGAAGCTGAATGCTGCTCACCTGAACAGCAACGACCGATCAGTCCACCGGCTGACGTGGGAGAGGCTAAGCGGCACGTTGAGTTGACCACAATTACGCCGACCCCAAAGGTCACGCAGGCCTGTCAGCGGTCAGGCCCTGGGAGGTCTAAGCCAGTCAGCGGCAAACAGGCAGGTCAAAGTTCGTGCGTCCAGCACGGCTATAATACGAGGCAAGCGGCAAGACTGAACAACTCAAGACCGGCAAGTGCAACAATTACGCTACTCTGATGATGGAAACGAGGAAGTTTCCGAAACGTCAGTTCGAATACAATATGGTCCATGAATTCGCCCTCTCTACTTCTTCGTCTTCTTCGGGAGATGATGAACGCGATATACATATATATATATATATGTTGTAGACCAGAGGTGGTATGCACTGCGAGCCGATATGGTGAACAGGGAAAGAGGTTCTTCCAAAAATTCGAGTTTTACTCGTGAATTTTCGAGTTGGTGATACCAACCCGTCGTCAGACGGAATGAAAGCGGGGAGAGAAAGTTGAATTGTCACGCTAGACCAGTTGGCGCAACAGAACAGACAGACCATTGGCGTGTGAGGGAGGTGGTCACGAAGTCATGGTGGATTTCTGAGTGAGGCGGGAGGGAATGGAGAGGAGGTGGAACACATCTATATGCAGAAGGAAAATGTCAAAAAAGACAAATGTGATCGGGATGGCCACTTCTGATTTATTGGCCGTCATTATCCCACCTTACACAAACCCAGAGTTGCGGAAAGTGAGCCTCGAACCTGTTTTCTTTAACCATCGAGTGTTATTAGGCCCAAAGAGCATCAGGTATACGTTGTCCCGATCGGTGAACGCACCTCCAACCTAAGTTAATATTCGCGGTCGCAACCGACAGAGCAACGGGCCTGTTTAACTTAATGACGCTCGACGGCCAAAGAACGCGGGTTCAAGGCCGAGGTGCGGCAAAAATCTGGGCTTGAGTAAGGCCGGCTAGCGACGGCTAATAAGTCAGAAATGACTGCCCAGTCTTACCTGTCTTTGTAGGGACAGGACGAGCCCATGGCTCCATGTTTAGAGCGTTGGACTAACAACCAAAGGAGCACCGGATCGAGCCTCGGATGTTCCAAACCTGGGCCTGGGTGTGACTGGCTGATGACGACTAATAAGCCAGAAGTGGCCATTTCAGCCTCCCTTGTCTTCGTCGGTAATCTTACCTATATACATATATGCCGTAGGATGGGAATTCGCATACTTGGACCGGTGCGGGCTCGTACGCGTCGGTACCTGTAATAGCTATCGCGTGAATCGCATTCCATATGTCAGATGGAAAATAGGAATGCGCTACAGATGAGCTGCCATCTCCCCCTCAGCCTTTTACTGGAGGCCATAACCCGCCATAAGGTAAAAGTGGTAGATAGGGGTGTGCTTGATGGCAGGTAATAGTTATTAGTTCATGATACAACTTCACGAAACCTGAATAAGTAGATGGTCTAGCAGATTTGTGTCTGAGGGTATGAGGGCTACTGGTTTCTAGAGGTTACCTCGACAGGTGACTGGCCCTTACCTAGTTTCTCCGTGCTCTACTGCATAAGGCCCAGATTAATTACGGGAAATAAAAGGATAGCATGCATTTTGTCGTTATTCGTAAGAAAACTGGCTCAGGGCGAACGGGAGATAAATGGCTTGCCACTGGAGGTGGTCATGTAGATTTAATTTGTCATGAAAACCCACGTAAACCCAAGGACCTAATCGTCAGTGTCAGGTTTTTCTGAAAAGATGGAAGAAAAGAGTATGGGAAAGGCTCGAGGTCCAAAGGCCTACCTTGGCTTCCATCTTCGAAACGCGGACAGCCCTGTCGTTGCGCAACTCGTCGAAAAGGTCTTCGCTGCAGACATTGTCTATTTCTGCCATAACATCGAAGTCTGGGTCATCAAAGTCGTCTGCATTCCAATGCTCGGTGTTAGGTTGACGAGCTGGAGAGGTGACAAGAAAATTCTCAGGGCTGGCAAGCACCCCAAAGTTGGATTGGCTGAGGAAGAGACTGGATTCTCCCGGCTGTGGAATGGGTCAGAGAACAGCAGTTTTACAGGAAGTGAGATCGCCTAAGTAAACGCAAAACGCACACAGGACGAGGGTGCGGAAACAAGTAACAGACGTTGGTGAGAGCAGATATTCATTATAAAATCAGCTGCTTTGGGCACGCCATTAAAATTAATTGTGAGGTATTTCCATTCCCACCGGAGTCCTAATTGACAGGGACGTTGGTGAAGTGGATTAGCACTGTATATAGCGGTGCTGTTGCCCATTTTGATCGCATCTGCTTACCAGCTCAGAGTTATCATTCTGCGGGGTGCCTCCAGGTGAGAAAAGCGAGCGCAGGAAGTTGCTATAAATGTGATCATCTGGATCAGTCGGTATGGACTCATCCACGTTCTGTGCCGGTTTCGGGGACGGTAGCGGATCTTCAGAAAGGCAAACGGTCTCAGCACCAAGCGGCCCAGTTGTCTCCCTCTCACCTGGAGCTTCATACTCGCAGCAGACAGCCTCATCCGTCGCGTTTTTCTCCTTACTGTCAAAGTCTTGCATGAGTAAAGAGGGATTTTTTGCAAAGGCATTGTATTCACGGATCCAACTTTGCGTGTCCGAAATGTCCTCGTTAGTTGGTACCTTGACCTAGCGAAGAAATGAGCAAAAAGATGGTTTCGGGGATGGCAGATGAAGATTTATTGAAGGACGAAATTCTCGTTTGTTTTATATCAGGCTTCTGGCTTCTGGGGAAGCATAAAATTAGAATAAAGGAAAAAGGCGATATACTCATTATGCTCATGCTCTAAAAGCAAGCCCCAATAGCGACGATATAACGACAAAGCTAGGACCAAAGGCGGGTCAAGAGCTAATCGAGGCCGGAAGGTTGGACAACAGTTCCATTCCACAATTCCCCATTTTAAGTTGTCACCATGCGACTAGTTGAGTGCTCTAGGTTAAGGCTTAAAAGGACGAGATGTTGCACACTGTGACCAGATCTGTGAACATCTTTTTCAAGATCAATATAACGCAAAGGAGAAAGAAAACACAGGACACACCCGCTGCGAAATGCACACACGAAACCCACTGGCCGATCTACGTGTGTCACATTATCTAGTTTTCCTGGACGTCGTGGATTTTACTTACTAGCTTAAAACTAAAGGGAAAAGTCTTTCTTCATGTACAATGTTTCTGGGCCACTTACTTAATGAAAGGGTCTACCATTTTTGGCGGAAACCAATGCTACCTCAGGGCCAGGAAATTTTCTACACTAATAATTGTAGACTGTCCTAGACTGAGCCTATGTCTTGCTGGGTGCTTTTATATTAGAAAACACTAATCTAAGTTGGGAGGTATACTGTCGTTAGGTTGAAATATGATTCTCCGATCTGCTTAAATCAGCTGGGCCCGGATACGAACGCATGTTATATCAAGAATAACGACAGGTTTCCCTTTTAAAGTTTTCATTCGCAAATCTGCGTAATTTTGTGTCCAAAAAGGCAGTAACAAGGCCTACAGGCGACCTTTTGTGTCTCAGGTTTACACAAACATTCCACAAGTAGCCATCATGACGCGATTATCTTAGTTTTTCGGAATATGGCAAGATGCTTTTTGTCTGGTCTAATTTCTCCTTATACGTAACTTTGAAGCAGAATTCACGCATCGTTGGGAGTTTGAAAATTGTGGTAGTATTTATATAGCCACTCTTTAGTGCATTCATTATGATAGAACTAAACCTGAAAGCGAGAAAACGAGGAGAACGCTGTTTGTGACAATTAGGTTTCGGGTTCGAGTGAGTCTACAAATATGACCCAACCCGTGATCGACATAAAACGACGATCTGAGAAATTGCTATCTACGCAAAAGCTTCAGTTTGAAGGTTTTGATAAACACGAACTATGGAACCTATCATTTAGGCAATGGACTGAGAACGCTGGAGACCGAAAATCAATCACAAACATCCCACAGATATCGAGGAACTCAGCGAACTCTACTGTCGCCAGAAAGCGCACGGCGGTTTTATGAAAGAAAAATCCCCTTGAAACAAAAAATGGTATGCTTGTGATTGCATCTGCGGACACTATTTCAATTTCTTAGTCACTGGCCGGCCTCCTCATAAGTGGCCGTATGATAATTTTTGTTCCAGTGACATTCGTATCCGCAAACTCAGACGAAAACCAATTTTCAATTCAAATTAGAAAAATTCAATCGAATTCCCCCGTCATCATTTTGTAGAACAGTCAAAAATTAAACCGTTGGCTAACCGCTGCAGAGGGATAATTACACCGAAAATGACCCAAAGACTTTCTGTCCAGCGCTTTTTGCTTATGCCTTTTTACTTGCTCAGTTGTTTGCATGGGCGGATTATACGCACATCTACAAATTGCGTTTGCTCATTCTACACGAATATTCCAACTTGCGATAGTTCCGCATCTCTTAAGAAATTTGTTATTTTTAAACGATGCTGTATGCGGCCCCCCTCATAAAACAAGAAACGATGACCTCTGTAATATGGCAATGGTGGTAATAGGGGTTTCATGGCCTGGTCATGACCCTTGCTTTAACCTCAAGCTTAACCTAACCCTAGCCTTGACCCTTAAGCTAAACAATGACCTCATTTGTTTAAGGGGTAGATTTAAAGTTAGTGTTAGCTTTAGATTTGCATTAAGATTATCTTGACTAGTCCGAGTGCGAGGCATAGGGTGTGAGTTAGGTGTAGCGTTCATATTACTGTCAAAGTTAAGTTACCACTAGCGCATAACGTCTGTCGCAATCTTTTACCGGGCAAACCGTAAGGAAACATGCCCACCTAAATAAAACAAGTACGCACGTTTTAGGGATAACGAATAGGTAGAACCACATACTCTATCCTTACCGTTTTTTCTAACCAACGTAATATTATTTTCAATATATATTTTGTGTTTTTATTTGGCTGAGGGTCGTTTATTATTGATTCGGAGTCTTGGTTGCTGTGCTTCGATTGGTTTCCAACTAATGAGGTTTTTCGTGAGTTGCGTCAACTACACTATTACAATGTACCCGTTGGGACTACTCAGAGAGCATTCGCCAGTGGCATCCAAGAGCAATAATTAGGAAAACGATAAAGGAATTTAATCTTCATCTTCGAGGTGAAATGATGAAAGCATTTTAAAAAGGAAATTTGACACGACGTTCCTTATTTGCTCAGCAGCAAAGTGCGTGCTGACATCTAGCCAGGGAAAACATTATTTCAGCGATGAGATCTTAGATACAAGTAAACACAGGAATGGGGCAAACATTGTTTTTAAAACAGAAAGTTGGCAGCTGACCGTGGCTTGTGGGGGCGAAACCTACGGCCGAAACACCACACAAAACAGCAGACGTCGTCCCCACTCCCGTGCATCCCCTCATGACCATGGGGCTGCCACTGCGCGGTAACAAATTCGTCACCATCGTCAGCGCCTGTGTCCCTCAATGACTAACTCCGTGGAGGCGAAGAAAAGTTCTACGAAGACCTGCACACGCTCCTAGCCACTGTGCCGAAGTCGAACAAGCTGATTGACCCAGGTGGCCTCACTTTCTGCGCCGACACAGATCATGCTGTCTGGGTGGGAGTGCTGGATCGCCGCGGAGTCAGCGGCTGTAGCAGCAACGGTTTTCTCCTCCGCCAACTACAAGGGCGCTAGGAAATGCGCACCAGCGCTTATGCCGTCTTTGTGGATCTGACAAATGCCTTCAAAAGCTTCATTGTCGATCAACTCTGGAGGACCGTGCTGCAATTCGAACGTCCGGGGCAAGGCACGCATACAGTACGACACCTGTGCGACTGATGGCACGCGTCACGGATAAAAGGTCAGTCTCGGGAGCCCTCATGGTAACAAATGGGAGAAAGGGGATTACGTACTCGCTCCTGCACCATTTAGTCTAGTGTCCTCAGCTGTATTGATGGACGTCTACCATTGAGGCCAGCCGGAGATCAGTAAGTTGCATAAGAAGTCATGCAAGGGTTGGCAGAGGTTTTACCCGCGTACTCGGCGTCGGCTGTTTCCCTGGCTATTCGGTCATTCCCTCGACCAACGATTCAGTATTATTTAGGATAAAAGTGTGTCCAGAGTTTGCACAATGCTCCGCCACCATAGACAATGGGTCCACCCTACTCATTGCCACCATGTGATTGCCACCGCATGTCTGTAGTCATTTTCAGGTTTCTCCAATTCAGTTAGCTTGTAGTCTTTCGCTTTATCTTTTGGCAGGTTATCTCAGGTACCGTGACCAGATCCGAACAGCTGACACCGGCAATGAGGACGACGTCGATTCCAAACGATCTTCGAATAAAAGCAAGCGTCTCAGGAGCAGCGTCAACGTATAGAAGCGCCCACCAAACCTTGGTTTGGTCTAGACCGTCTGCTGCGATCCATTCAATTGTGGAATACCTGTTGGCCGTAACAGGGCACTGGAGGCAGTGAGTTCTGACCTTTGGTCGTCCGGCAGGCCGCAATGTTTCCGTCCTTTCGCGGAGAGTTCGCACACAGATGCGTCTATAGCAAAGTGGATGCTTTATGTGGTAGGCTGGGATTTGTCATGTGTTGGTAGCCTTTCTATATGTTGCCATTTTCAGGTAACATTTTGGCAGACAAGGACGTCCATGAGGAGCAGCTATCCAAGCCACGACTGTTGCGCATTGTGATTGTCTCAAACGCGACACAGTTGTTAGAGTAAGGAATGAATAGGTTCTTTGGCAGATTTTGAATAATTTATTTTCATCTAACTGTGAAACACGGTGACCTCGGTGGGATTCCATATGTTGCAGTAGACTGTGCGGGTAGCTTGACCCAAATGTGGTTAAGCTCACGGCTCTCGATGGGGCCTCGTAGCTCGGGTGGCTTGAGCGTTGGCTGTATTCAAGCCTTCCCCTTGCTGTCGTGAGTTCGAATCCCGCCGGGGTCGCCCAAAATTTTTCAGTTGGGTCAAAATAGAAGCATGGAATGCACTGAACTGCAGTAAGATGGGACACCAAGGTATCGGCCTCACCCCCTCCTCCAGCTTTCCGTGTGTCAGTGGCCTGACCGGTCAAGCGGGCTAGTGATGATATTAACGATGAGGGTGACGTGGCCCAAGCCCCGACGAACGAGTTCAACAGAACATTCCCCACAAACACCCAGAAAATGCGTGTGCATTTCAACGACCAACACGGTACTTTACATTACTCACGAAAACGAAACCATTCAATAAAACCTAACGGTTGATACACCACGAACGTGAACCTTTGTACCTCTCACTCATATGAGATCCGCGGCCTGGTGTAGTGAGTTTAGAGAGGGTTTAAACAGAAGTCGACACCGAAAATACCCACTGAGGCCTTACTTCATCTCGATAGAAAAGAAGTAGTCTACAAAACCCCATGTGTCCGTCGTAACGCAGTCTATTGTGGTTAAACCGGGAAATTCGCTTTTTCTTGTACATATGAACATCAACTAACAGTGAAAGGGCGGAACCATTCATCCCGGACCGTCACGCACACACCGCATACATGTGTGAATGGAAGGAAGACCACATCGGTGACGGGGTACAATGTACGCGTAGTGACGCAGTCCTCGACGGAATATGGAACTTCAAGCATTATTTCAAGCCAGATGGTAAACTTTGCATACTGACTGTCGACCGCAAACCTATTCAATCGCACCTGTCTATTTTGGTTACCAAAAAAACGGTTACTTAAACTGTACAACTCCCCATTCTCACGGGGTAAACTAAAGACTGTAAAGTACAAGTGTTAAACAGTCCGCAATCAGTTGTATCAAAAGTAGACAGGGCAGTATATTTTTTGCCGAAGCCATGCCGATTATCGTAAGTTTCATAAACAGGTGGTTTGCAGCACTGAAAGGGAAGTTCATTGTTTCAGTCGGATGAAAAGTTAATAGCATTGGAGAAAACAAAAATTTCGAGCAGTGCAAAAACACTTCATTGTCTAGAGACTTGTTTGATAGAACTTAATGGAATGTACTAGCATTGCTGCTTCAGGTTCATATCGAAATCGTCTGCTTATGACGCTACTGAAGAGGATGCTGACACAAAGACATTAGAACTATCGTTGCGATTTTAAGCAAATGTATTCTCGTCACTCAGTCAGGTTAAATTTCTTGCATGACCGGCTGGCTTCGACGCTTTTTGAGGTCCTTAACGATATGTGGGCTAAAAGTTGCTGACACCGACGGCGGGAGAAAAGCAAACAACTGTCATCCATCCTATCTACTTTTTGAGCTAATAAAACGATCGGATTAACAAAGCTAACCGCGAATAACAAATCCCCCAACTGAGTTTTCAACTGGTCAATTTTCCGAAAAACTGCGTGATTCTACTCTATAATGAAAGACTACTGTTTCACACAGTCTGTAAACACCTCCTATATTTCGGGCGGCAAAAGAACATAATGGTTTACTTGACATGAGCGTGTGAAATAACGGTGACGACGGCCACGGCCTCCACCACCGTCACCATCATTATCATCATCGTCATCCTCTTCACTCCGCCAGGCAGAATCAGCCGACGGCATGATTTCCAGACTAGTCTCCTCTTCCTGCTGATTATCATCCTCCTCACTGTCAGCTGAAAGGACGCCGGCACTGGATTCGGGTAAGCGGTCGTACAGTCTATCTAGTTGCAGAATTTCCATGTCCAAGGCAGTTGGCTGATAGTCGGAGTCGGATTGCTCAGCAGCACTGGCGGCGTTGGAATTGACGGCATCATCATCGTCATCAGGAAAGATCATGTCTTGAAGGGTGCATCGGGTTCTCGATACTTTGGGCGTCGCGGTACTCCTTAAGGTGGAGCGAATTTTTTTCGCCACTGACCTACGAAAAAGGAAAGTGGAGGAAAAGAAAAGGGAGTAAAAGTCAGCTCAGTTCAGTTGTACTAAAGAGAATAAAGGCGAGCGCCTTTGAACTCCCTATTGGTTACAAATCGTTTGAAAAGGACACTGATAAGTTGAAAGTTGGATGAGATTCTGCGCATATTTGCATGTAAAAGGCAGAGAGTTACCAGGTAGTCGAAAAATAGTGATCATTAACGGTTACCCGCTAATTGTAAGTCGTATAGGCATATGTAGGTTGGTGACGGATTATGTGACTGTGTGTGGCTTGCACTTGGGAAGCTTGATACGCGTCGAGTCTACACTTAAATGAGTGCACAGAGGAGGAGAGTACAGCACCAATAGGCAGGGCATTCCACGCTGCAACCACCCTGTTACTGAAAAAGGACGTCCGTCCATTGATCCTTGCTTTACCTGCGCGTAGTTTTAGGGGATGACCGCGCAAAGTGGGCGTGTCAGCTTCTGTGAAGCAATCACTGCGATCTAAACAACAATCTAGGCCGTTGATAATGCGAAATGTTAGCATAAGGTCACCACGTAGTTGCCTGTACGAAGGGCGAAACAGGTTGAGAGTTAACAATCTGATTTCGTAAGGCAGTGCTTTAAACCTTTTGTCATTTTTGTCGCCCGTCTCTGGACGTTCTCTAAGACTGTATAGTCCTTGACAGTCCAAGATCTTCATGCCTGTATGGCGTATTCTGGATCAGGTCGCACGAGGGTGCCAAATATTTTGGAAAAGCTGTCAGTATCAAATCCCATAAAGGCTCGCCTAATGAAGTGCAATGCAGCCATTGCCGAATTAGCCGCCTTCACGCAGTAGAGTGTTGTTTTGAGTGAAGATGTAAGCCACGCACGCAAGTCCTTATGACTGCCAACTTGTTGCAGTGGTGTACCGTGAAGAAAGTAAGTCCTGGGGCTGGAGGCTCCGCAGCTAGCGAGTTTAAGATAGTTGCACTTACTTACATTGAAGGGCATAAGCTAGCGCTTCGACCAGTCCTCGAGTCGGCTCAAGTTTGTTTGAAGGTGGTCTCAGTCTGGCGCATAGTGAACAACTTTCCCCAATTTTATGTCGTCAGCAAACAGGATGGCATCACAGTCTAGGTCCTTGACGCAGTCATTTATGAAAACGAGGAATAACGCGGGGCCTGAGACTGGGCCCTGTGGGACGTTACTTACCACGCTTACATCTGAGGACTGTTGACGCCCGACCTGCACTCTTTGGGACCGTCCTGTCAAAAAGCCCTGGATCCATACAAGAAGGCGTCCACGAATTCCTGTGTTGCGCAGTTTGTGCAAGAGACGTTGATGAGGAACGCTGTCGAAGGTCTTTTTGAAGTCGACGTAGATGGCGTGCACCTCATTGCCTTCGTCGCATGCTTTGGTCCAACATTCGTGTGAAAAGAGCAGATTCGTGAGACAGGACCTACCACTTCGAAAGCCGTGTTGGGCATCGGGAGGGGAGTTAATGCTACTCGAGAAACTGCATCGACGCCTTCTTGATGATTTTCTCCATGATTTTGTAAGAAATGGAGGTAAGACTCCCTGGCCTGTATTTATTCGCAGACGCACGATTTCCGCCCATAAAAAGCGGAATGATGGTAGCGGACTTCCGATCGGAGGGTAGGTACCCAGTAGCAAATGATGTTTGGGAGATCAAGGCTAACGGTGTGAACATTTCGGAAGCTAACTCCTTAAGCAACTCGGCCGAGACTGCATCAGGGCCCGGGGAGGTTGACTCCTTCAGGTTAAGTAACTCTTTCTGAACGACTGCCTGGGTGAAGAAGACTGTTTCAATAGTAGGAATTTCTTCCTCTTCACAAGTGGGTGTGAAAAAATTGGGTTCACTTGTCACGACGAACCGGAAGAACTGAGAGAGATGTACAGCCTTATTCTTGTCCTCTGAGGTTTCCGTGCCCTCGGCCGTTCGCGGCAATGGGATGGGAATTTCGTTCCGTGTACTCTGCCTTATGTGACTGTAAAGGACTTTGGGATTAACTGTGGCACACTTCAAAAGATCCTTTTCGAGGACTTGCCGATCTCTGGCAAAGAGAATGTTGACCCGGTTTCCCTGTAACTTATAAGTGTTCAGGGATTCTGGCGTCCGGTCAATGAGCGATCTTTTCCATAACTTCCTCTTCTTGTTAACTTCCTTCTTCAAAGGATGGAGTTAAGCAGCGAAATAGCAATTCTTCCGTCGCAAATGACTGTCCTGAAGGGGGTAGTGCCGACTTGCACATGGAATGCAACAACAGTAAGGAAGGCTTGCGTTGCATTGGCCCCATTCTCTTTTCCAATGGCAACATGACGTCAAGAAGACTGCAGGTGAGTGTGGATTCTGTTGCTTATGAAACTAAATCTCTGTTACACGTGCAGCACACATACCGGTCTCCGCACGCACTCGAACCAGACTACAGGCGGGGCCGGGAATCTCCCAATAAGTAGAGCTGCCATGTAGGTTAATATAGGAAGCGGCCATTGTAGACTCACCCTCGGTCCGCAGTAGGGCCGATTTATTCCGTTACTTGCCAATCCTTTAAGCCCCGACTTTTAGTGTATTTTGACGGTCTTAAAGGATTTGCTTTGTTTAATTTATGAGAATATTAGTGCGCGAACTTTGAGTAAATTCTTTAGAACAGACTTTTTCAGGCACGGTCCCGGAGTTGATATGAATATTTGAGCTGACATCCACCAGCTACTGCGGGATAACTGCGTAATATTCACAAACCGCCAACAGGCAGTCAGTAGTATACAACTGTGCAATTATTTGCCATACTGTGTCGTCAGTAGGGTAAATTATTACACAATGGTCTTCAAGGATGCCCGATTTAATCTGAGTGAAAGTGCTAGACCTTAGTCGAATAGTCCTCATCCTCTTCTCCTTCATAACAGTGGCAAGTCCAAGTCAGGTGGGTTGGAAACAAAGGAATGGAGGGCGTAGTGATTGAGGCTGCGTAATGTTTCCGTCTGACACGTGCTGTATGCACGCACCTGCACAGGGCAGACCGGATCCAATCAACAACGAGAAGCAAGTTCAAGTTTATTGATGATGTTGCTGCTGCTGCTGATGATGATGATGACGACGACGACGACGATGATGATGATGATGATGATGATGATGATGATGATGATGATGATGATGATGATGATGATGATGATGATGATGATGATGATGATGATGATGATGATGATGATGATGATGATGGGAGGAAAATACCGAGAGGTGGCATCTAGACCATAGCCACGGGAGTTGTGTGAGCCCTAAGTCGACAACACCGAGACTGGACAGGTGACATTAAAGAAGAAATCCGGCGCCTCCGCTCAGAGGAAAACCAGCTACGGAGGCCCTACGAGAGCAACAAAGTGAAAACATGGACGGCTGCACGTGTAAGCTGGGGTATGAGAGATGTAGAAAAGATGGCTGAATTGCGCGGCTGATGCAGTCCGGAAATACAGCCACCCTAGTGAAAAGAAGAACTTCTTACGTGTCAAGTTGAGTCCCAGCCCAGGTGGGACAGAACCTTGTCAAAAAAGCCACATACACTGGCGAGTCGAGCTAAGCATTCTAAGTACGCCCATCTGAAACGAATCCATCAATAAACTCCATCCATTAGAAACCAATGACGATTATGACAGACTGCCCTTTCTGTACGAGGCGATGACAACTGTGCAGTAGATATCCACTTGAAGGGTTCCCTGCACCGAAACGATTCAGACAGAAGTGTAAAAATATGTTGGCCCTCCAAATATGTTGACCCCGAACAGAAATCAATTCTGGAAAATAATGATGAAGTCTGGATGTACGGAGAGGTCCAATGTGACGGTCAAGAAACCACACAGGAGCATAACGAAACGCGCCACGGGCGGTGGTTCAATTTCGGAAGTTGGCAGTCGAAGATAAGGTGAGGCAGGATTGCGTAACTGTTCCGCCTCAAGTTTCGAGTTCCCAATCATGCTGATGGAAGCTTACCCCGATCGGTAAACCTGAGTTGACACCCATTGTTGAAAAGCTACGAATTTTTCCAAAATCCGGCTTATAAAGTATCCAGAGCCGTCATACAAGATTTCATATTCGCAGCTGATTATGTATTGAAAATCACAACAGATGAAAAGGATGACATGAGATCGGATCTTAGAGTCCTGTGTCATCCGACAGGCCGACTTCGGATCGACTCTCAACACGGAGAGAATACACGTGTGTGAACCGGCATGAATAGCTGATAACGCCGAACCCATGAAAGTTGTCACGTAGCTGTAGACCATGTCTGCCACCTGAGAGGCACCAGCTCACGAAGCATCAAAATCGAAGAGGTATACGTGCCTCCGTACTGGCTTGTGTCCCCGATTCGTGTTACTGGATTTAACCAGTTCGTAACAGTAGAGACAGCCCGTCTGACAGGCCGTTGTACTGCCGTTGTACTGTGTTGCTGGAGACCTTTGGATCCACCAGTGCCAGCATGACCGATCAATCCCCCACGACACAAAACGCTACTAGACTTGAAGGGACTCCTCCCGTACTTTCCGTTGTCCACTGAAACGCAGGCGTCGCCAGGACACGGAGGACAACCGCCAGCGGTGTATACAGTACCCTTCCATATTGTGAGCGAACATGCATGCATGCAGTTTCCTAGTTGGACCCATGCAAATCTATCATGAAATGACTGGAGTAACACTGACAGGAACTCCGGTCAAAAATTTACAGGTCTCCCTTACCTGCCTACGGCTGGTCCTTTTGTGGTTACAACACCGGGCAGGATGGATGGGGCGTCCGATGTAGCAGCTGCGATCTCGGAGTTCACATACGATGTTTAAGGCTACTTCTTACCGCGAGTCCCTGTCTACCCCTACCACACTCCTCGGTCTGCCCAACGCGCCCGACTTCCAGCCAGCTTATGCCCACCCGCAACGATTACTTCCTGCCCAACAGTAATTTCGAACGCCTTCCAGCAATCTAGCACCAAAGCTTTCTGCTCATCGCCCAAAGAATAAACCAAATCAACTCCTCGTTATAATTACAACTGCACCACATAGCGGGGCATCCGCAGGGAATATCCGATCACAGTTATGTACGACAACAATCCCTAAAACTTAAGCCATCACTCATACAACAATTATGAGATTAAAGCTGCCAAGGTCACTAGTGACTGTGGACACCGTGTTCTCGAGTGGCATGCTAGTCGAATAATCGGCCTGCGGTAGACCAATGCTTCAGAAAGAGTTAATCATTACGACTAATATCGTTATTACAGCTCTACGAAAACTCAAACTTTCCATTGTAATGGGGGCAAGGCCAAATTAGCTGGGATAAGGCGATCAGTATCTTCAGTAAAACAAATCCGACGCGCGTTCAAATCATCATGACGCATTAAAAATCGAAAAGTCAGTTGGCGAACATGTGTCCTCGGGCAATTCATCGTCAGACCACTAAAAGTACATGAAGAATGAATTTGTGAGTTAGATACGGAGTTTATTTATGTCTCAGAGGGAAGGGTTAGTCACACTCGCCTTTCCCACGCCTCTCGTATAAGGGTGTCAGCGTGTTGAGGACGTTGGAGCTGTATGTCTGACAGGCGGATTTAACGTGACTGTTCACAGGAGGTCGGGACAGCGTGTGATCACCACCTAAAGTCGGCCGAGGAAAACAGACTGTCTGTATCAATGTCTTCTGACAACAGAGCGCTGGGTTCGCTAAACAAATGGATGGGTTAACCACTTGGACGGTTTCTCGCAAATGTCTTCATAAGTAAGGTCTGGCAAACAAGTCTCAAGGATACCATCAAAAACCTTGATTTCTACAGTCAGTACGTGGACGATATCTTCTGCCCGATAAGTCATACCACCGACATTGATGGCTTAGTTCAGAAGTTTAACAAGGCGCACCCCTCGCTGAAGTTTGCCGCAGAGACTGAGGCGAATGATGAAACCGCGTCCTTGGATGTCCTTCTACACAGACAGGAGGTTGGATATATCCAACACAAGGTATTGTCAAAGTAGACCTGGAAGAAATAATGCAATTTCAACTTTGTTCCTCTAAACTTAAAACGAACGCTAGTCTAGGGATTGGCGGTTAGAGTGCGACGTATCTGCTCTTCCGAAACTGCTGAAGCAGAGCTCCGGCAGATTCAGAACACGGTCCGCGAAAACGGCTATCCAGAGAGATTCGTCCCCCGGAATATTAGGGTGTGCCACAAAGCCTGCCGTGGTAACTGCAGGAAAGAAAGACTTGTTTCCAAGACTACCCCTTCTGGGGAACGCAGCAAACGAATCAGTGAAACGCTGTCTAGTGACAGTTATCAAGAGTGCCTTGCCTAAGGCGAACTTGTTTGTACTTTTCGTAAAATAACCTCTCCTACGGTTCACAGCTGAATACCGACTGTCGTTGTAGCAAGAAAACGCTGGTGACTTGAGCGTGAGTTGCATTAAAGTGAGGGGCATATGAGCAGCATTTACTTGGCGCTCTCAAGACTGGAGGTGGGCGTGGGTGCAGTGGGCGAAATGGCGTAAAGCATCTGCCTACGTGCGTCACACGCATCCCAGTCTCCCACTACACATGAATTAGACTCCCGTAATTCTGGCAGCGCCGTAAGGCCACAATCATTACAACCTGCCTTAGGTCCTCAGAAATGATTCATCGTCATAGTTTGGAACTACTTCACCCAATAATTTTGGCATGTCACTCATTACTCCACGCGATACCACATCACCATAAAAGACCGCGTGCACCGTGCATTCGTCCCGCTAGCCCTCATATGGGATTGTGAATACTAAGCCGTGCACATGGGAGATGACCTACGTTTCCCTCAAATAGACTGAACTGAACGGCCGCCTGAAGACCATACTCAGAGTAAAGCACAACGTACGAAAACGGTCCGCGTTCTCTGCGACAATAACGCAAGTGTATCTCAGGCCATCCCAGAAAGACGGCTGGGCCGGTTTGCGCATGTCCTTCGTCGTCCGCCTCACGATCTCAATGTTGTTGCCCTTAGTCTAGCATCGTCGTCCACCTTGAGGTGTCGAAGAGGAAGCCTACCCCGACACAGTTCATCACGACATGAAGGTGGTTCTTGGATCTGTGGAACTCGGTCTCCATCGCTGTGGGTGAGGATGGGTCGAGCTGTCAAGATTCGTAAATCAGACTGCCATGCGTGGAAATGTGCAATCCGCAACATCATCGAAGCCGGCTATATTAGGTATGATCGCAGCTGTACCAAGTACAAGCACATAAAGCTAGTTGTGGTAGCATTAGTAGTAGTGATGAGAATGACGTTTTGAACGCATGTTAAAAAATATTTAAGTATAGAAAAGAACCTTGTTAACACCCGGTGCACAATCGGATTCTCGATGGCAGAGCCGCCAGAGCAACGGCTAAGAGCAGTCGGGTCGACCCCCAAGAGGTGGGCTTGTCTCCTAGTGGCTGAGGAGGGCTCGCCGGTCTCCGGTTCAAGCAGTGCCAGCTGGCCATCCATGAAGTGTCTGAACGCGGCCACAACGTCCTCGTTAGTTAGGACAATTTTGAGGAGGCGCTTCACTTGGGGCACAGTCAACTTCTTCTCACTGGTTATTCTTTCGAGTCGTTCGGCCAGTGAGGCCCCCATAGTTAACTGGAGAGAAAAAGGAAGATGTGTAAAAAAGAAACCGCGTGATGCAAAAGGTATGAGTAGACGGGCGAAACAACTTAAAAAATACTTTGATTTGCACAACCCGCGGAAGTCGATCCAAACTTCTTGGTTTAAGGCAATCAAGTGAAGCGACTTGAGCAAGCGAAAATAAATGTCCTTACTAATGTCTGTGGAGATTTTTTCGCCTCGTATTGATTCAAACGTCCCGGCGTTCTACCTATCAGAGACGGGGCAACGACTTTAGTTTACCAACCAATAACAAGAAGAGGAGGCGGCGGCGGCGGCGCAAAAGAACCAAAGGTTGGCTGGCTCGACGTTCAGAGTATTTTAAAGATGCTGCTGTCTGTCACCGTTGTCAGTGGGACCACTTATTTGGTGCAAGTCAGGAGAGCGCGCTCCAGCTGGGACTGCAGTTAGCAGGGAGCGGGGGGGGGTGGCAGCGGTTGACATGTCCGTGGTGGAACAGTCATCGTACTTAAATAAGCATCAGTCGTTGTCGCAAGGTTTTATTCTTCAGTTTACAATTTAGCCCCTCTTGCTTACCATGGGTTCAATCACAAATTTACACTGAAAAGTCAAATAAGTCGGGGGAAGAGTGACTTGGAGGCCCGGGAATGTCAAACGTGCGAGTCAGGAATCTGATATTTATCTGACTTGAATTACGTTGTACAAGAAAGTAGTGCCAGAAGTCCGTGCAACGTTTTTCAGGAAATTTAATAGGCCAGTATGCTCCGCTACTCAGGAGTGTTCACCTACGTGTTTTGCAGCTGTTTGCCGTTCCTCCTTCCGCGCACGAAGTCAGCCTTCATTCGCTGGGCGTAGGCTGCTGTCTTGGCGCCAAGAGGGACTGGGGCCACTGTCCCACTGTATTCCGTTAGATATTCATGACTATCTTCAAGGCGCAAGTCGAATGTCATGCAGAGGGTTAACTGTAGTGCTTCACGATGCTGTAGACAGTTTTTGCGATCATCCATGCATACGTAAGTCAGTTACGCTAACGCATCAACTCGACTACTGAAAATGATTGCCATCCGACTTTCTAAATTTCCCCTTGTTTCTCCTTCCCATAATATCTTTCGTACTTCTGCCGTCTAACAATTTATATAGCTCACGTTCAATTCTCTGCCACACTTTTACAACGGGTGACAGTTCCCTGGGTCGTTAAGTGGCGATGCTGCTAAAACGAATTTATAGAGATAGTTACAAAAGTTAAATAAAATTGAAAATTCCATGATCCTGCGCTGACCTGCCAGTCGTCTGTTAGGGCCGTCTCAAGCAGTGTCCTGTGTTTTCCTTGTTCCCCAGATTCTTTTGAAAGTCTTCTTCGCTTCAGAAGTGAATCCGGTGGAATGTTTTTCCTACGTTTTCGTGAAGTCTGCAGATTATACTCCATAATCTGAAACTCCTAAAGTGAAGCAAGCATGTAGACGGCGATTTCGGCGCCAATCTTTGACAAGAACTTCGCTGATGAAAATGATATTCACACTTTCCTTGGGCGGACGCTCAAGGATGAACTTGCGAGGCAGAAACCCGCGAAAGGTCCCACAAAAGTCCACGTAAACCGACTACTATTTACTTGTCTTCATCCAGTACATCTTAGATTGAATCGACCAGTGCAGGCATGGTTTCTAGAAAGCCAAAACATCAAAAAAATGACCAGTTAGATTATAAGTAAACGACAATAGTGATATCTTATACACGTTTAAGGCAAATTTCGCAATAATCAGAACAGGTGACCAAGCAAAGGATATGAGACGTCAATAGTAACATCCGAACGACAAAGGACTGGGATGCGTTCCCTAGAAACTGAGCGTCATGTTAACTAGTGCCGTCTGGAATCGTGTATTCCAAGCGCTCTAGGTGTGCGTGGTGCCATGAGCGGCGACCCACTTCGTCGGTCACTTCAAGACCGTCCATGCCTCTGAATCAGCGTCGCCCAACCTTACGCTGACAAGTTTACCGCACGTACACAGTTTGCAAATACCGTACACAAGGGTGTAGCGCAGGGGACGGCAACTGGGCCTGATAATAAAGGCACGACTAGGGTGGCAGGAAGTACCCATGAGTAGTACACCGATGGTTACTGCCGACTACATTAATGGGTCTGGTGAATGCTGCTGTCCCGTCCTATCCCAAAACCCAGCTTTCATCTATGGTTCCAAGACGTCGTGCCCAGCTCCGCGGTCACATCCCGATAACCGTCCTTGGCTGGCTAAACCAGATGAGGGTATCCAGTGTGTGTCTTCATGCCCGGTAATCCCTGAAGTAACGCCCAAACTCTCTCCCCGCTCCCGAACAAAAAGCCCTGCGGAGAGGGTGACATGTCATCCTGTAGATGGCCCAAGTTAACTCGGGTCGTCCTTCCACTAAACAGAAGTCGTGACTCACATCAGAATTCGGCAGTAGCCTGGGATGACTAAGTGACCCTATTTAGGAGACGTCTCGTAGAGAGGGGAAGGGGGCTAGAAAAGATGCCCTAAAAATTGCTGATAAAACACACCGTCGGCAAGCTGATCATGACTTATGGACGCAAAAAAGCGGTCGAAAAAGCACAAAAAACAACGGCATCCGTTCCAGACACATCTGGGACGGACTTCTAAGGGTAGAGCGACGACATACCGGAGTTGCCCTCCTCATCAGGAACAGCGTCGTGAGACAGCTGTCCCGTCTGCCACAAAGCGTCGATAACCGTCCCATGGCTAGGAGGCCGTCACTACGCGGAAACAAATTTGGCACCATTGTCAGCGCCTAAGCCCCCTCAGTGACCAACTCCGATGACCTGAAGAACAAGTTCGACGAAAACCTGTACGCTCCTGTAGTGACTGAGCAAAGGTAGACGAACGGGTTGTCCTTGATGACCTCAACGTCCACCCTGACAAAGATCATGCTGCCTGAGAGGATGTAATCGGTTGCCACGGGACCGGTAATTGTAACAGTGGTGGCCTCCTCGCCTTGGAGGCCTGTGCAGAACACAGTCTTCTCCAGGCAAACGTCTTCCATTTTCGACGCAGGATAAGACGACTTCGATGCACCCTTACTCGCGTCACTGGCATCTGCTGGACCCCGCCCTCGTGTGGACGCGTAACCTGCGTGAAGTGCTGATGACTAAGGCGACGTTTGGCGCCAACTTCTGAACGGGCCAACACCTCGTCGCCTCCAAGACGAGGTTCTAATTGCAGCCGCGCAGGCGACTGCAGTACCGGTCAGCATCAGGTAAGTCAAATACTGTATTACTTGGTACGGCGGAACGTCGGTAGACTTTTAGCAGCTGCATGAACTCCAAACTAGGAATACAAACCCTGGAGGCCGGACCAATGTCGAAACCCAGTGGGTGGAATTTGCGAGATGCCATCCAGGCCATAACAATAAAGGTACGTGGTTGAGCACGCCGTCGGCACGTGGATTGTTTTGATGGCGATGATGAAATTCGTACATTCCCTCCCAAGAAACACAAATTTCCCGCGACCTATACTATCGATAGTAACAACGCCAATAAGTCCTAGCAAAACAGAGACTGAGGAAGATACAGAACGACTGGCTGACTCGCAAGTTCGTGACCCATGTGTCTGCCGAACATCGCGGTCATCAAAGCGGTCTACGGCCCACAAGCCGGGAGGACTGTTCCGCTGCTAAGCCATGGTGAGACAACCTTCGTGATGGAAAAGTCACAGATCCTGAAGCGTTGGTCCACACACATACAGGGAATCCTCAACCAACAGTCAACAATACGTAAAGAAGCCATCAACCGATCGCCTCAAGTGTGCCCCAACGACAACCTGGGTTGCCTACCTTGGCTCCTTGAGACAGGGCAGAAAAACAGCTGTCCAGTAGAAAAGCACTGGGAGAAAACGCAGTTACAGCTGAAGTGTATAGGTACAGCAGCTCACAATTCATGGAAATGCTAGGTTGGCTGGTTCCAGAGATGTGACGGCGGGGACGTTCTCCAAGACTTCAAGGATGTTGCCATCGAGCACATTCAGAAACGCATGGGCAACCGGAAACTGCGGTAATCACGGAGATGTACCCCATCTCAATACTGCGGGAAAAGCCTTTTTACTTGTCCTACTTAGTCGTGCGAAAGCGCATCTGAGCAGGGACGTCTCTCAGAAACGCAGTGCAGATTCAAAAAACGCTGGGGAACCACAGACATCTTCGCGGCTGGCCAACTACAGGAAAAACGCCAAAAAGTGCGAGTCAACCTCTGCATCATTTTCGTTGATCGGACGAAGTGAATTGTGACGGACTCTAAAAAATCACCTAAATTCGGACGTACTGGGCGACTTACTCGAATGGTAAGACAATGGTAGAGGGACGCTCACTGGTCGTGTTACGGCTATGTGCTTTGGACATCTAACCAACAGGTCGCGGGATCAAGCCTCAGATGTTCCACCCCTCGGGGTTGGGTATAACTGGCTGACGACGGCCAATAAGCCGGAAACGATCGTTCCAAACACTTGTTTTTGTCGGTAAGGTTATTCTGCCTATATTGCGCAGCTGTGCGGCTGTTGGTTAGGCTCGAGAGAGAGTCCCAAGGCAGAACGGGACGAGTGAGTTCTGTAACACGATCGGTGAGCGCCCCTCCACCATTGTGCATTCTCGATCGAAAACGATGGGACAGGCCCGTGTCTCAGTGGTTAGGGGCGTTGGACTTCTAACCAACGGGTCGCGGTGTCGAGCCCTAGGTGTTTCGCATCTCGGAGTTGGGTATGACTGGCTGGCGACGGTTAATAGGCCGGAAACGGTCATTTCAATCGCCTTTGCATCTGTCCGTAATGCTATTCTGCCTACTGTAAGACAACTTTACGACGGGATGATGGTTCGTGTCACAGACAACGGGAGAACCTCTAGAAGCATTGGCGATGACTAATTGGGTGAAGCTGGGCTGCAGGCTCGCTCCCACCCTATTCAGTATCATGTCCTTCACCATGTTGATGGACGCCTACCATGAACTGAGGTCGGAAATTGACATCGATTACGGAACCGTCGATAAGCTTATAAATACTTGTCGTCTGAAGGTGACTTCGAAAGTATCGAAGGGCAACAATCACGGCCTACTGTTCGCAAATAATCGTGAACTAGACACAACGGATAAGGACATGCAGCGGAGTGTGGATCTCTACGCCCCCCGCTGCCCCATCCTAAGACTGCCCATCGGCACGGTGAATACAGTTCTCCTGCACCAACTGGCGCCAAATGCTAACTACACTGAATTTATTATCAATGCTAGTGGAACTCCTCTCACAGCAGTGGACAAGTCTGCATACCTTGGGAGTGAAATTTCAATATCGATGACGAAATCAAACGCCGGATCCGCAAGGCCAACCATGCCTTCCGCTGGCTACAATACTCCGTCTGGAACATTTGCAGCATCCTACTCAGCACAACACTGAGATTTTACAGGGTTGTTGTTCTTATGACGCCTTCGTATGGGGCAGAGACGTGGACTGTTTATTTTACCTCGGCTGCTCTTAGAAAATACTGGAGTTAGAACAGCAAGAAAGGACCCCAGACACTGAAACTATGGAAGAAACCGACGTCCCCATTATCTACGCAATTCTGAGGCAGATACGAGTGCGATGGTGCGGTCACTTTCTTAGTATAGACAACGACCATCTGCACAGGTGGTCATTCCACAGCGACGTAGCTATGGGTGGCCTCATACAAGGCGGACAGAAGATTCGGTACATGGAAATCTTGTTGACGTCCCTCAAGCACCTGAAAACTAACCTTGAAACCGACAAATAACGCAAGCACACAACCCTATCACCGTGTCCACACTGTTAACGGACGCTTCGGGGACCGGTAGGCCTCGATGGACATCTGTAGAGCCAGTAGAATGTTAACACGACCAACCTGTTGCGTTATGAAAAATTATCACTACATCCTTTACTACCTACAATTTGAACTCGAATTCAACCTGTCTCACATGTGATCGCACTTTCTCATCATGCATAGGCCAGATCGCATAGGCCGATCTGTCGCACAGACACTGGCGAGCCAGTGTCTGCAGCTCCGCCGTACATCCGTCACACACACACATTATCTCCTTACAAAGTTATATGACACTCGGATACCGTGTAGGTATAATCGACCATATGCGTATGAAGGACACAGTTGGTGATAGAATACGGTCCCAACGAACGTCCGATGTAGTATCGGATAAATACTACTCATTGACACTAACACGAACTCTGGTTCCTATTCTGCAAAGACTGACTTGAAGCAAACTGAAGAAGCTTTGTTGGTGTGTCATCGCGTAGCATCCCTGAAAACAAAGAATCACGATGTCAAAATCAGGAGCAGAATACAAGAAACAGACAAGAGTAGGCTGCTAGTGACAGTCGCCGTATTCAGAAAATCAGGGAAGTGAGAAGTGCTGATCAAAAAAGCCTGCTCCGATCGATCACAGCAACTTTTAATGAGTACATCGTAAATATTAGAGAAGATTGAGGATGACGGTTGCGAAGGCTTTGACAGCAATTTCAAGAGAGTTTACAACACCGCAGTCCTTTTACAGCGATTTGCCGCCTTTGTTCAGGCCGGCGTAAAGGTAATGTCATTTCAGCCTGTGGGCATGACATCTATTTCCAACATTTGAGGTAGAAGACCGTGTAACCACACGGCTAATACTGTTGGACGGTACTTTCACGAATTCGGCGCAACTCATATGTCCCTGACGGTTGGTACGGAGTAACTGGAGAATTAGTTCATCTTCAACATTCAGCACAGCTTCCTCGTAACTCCGTCGGCTGAATCGTATTCGCCTCAGACAATCTAACTCCGCATCTCGTTGAGGTAGCTGTGCTGAGTAGTTGTACAACACCGATCCATTAAATCCTTAGCGTCCTGAAGATGAGGAGCCCTTGACTACCAGCTCTCTTAGAGATCCAATCTTTCTAGTGACGTCCGATGTGGCTTAGAAGGCTCTGGAAGGTATTTTGCCGTGCATGCTTCCATGTCAACAAGTTGCACTCTATTGAAGACGCTTCAAAGGTCATTTTTCTCAGCATCAGTGCGACGAAGTCGTTAGATGCGGGCAAGACAAGACCCGTTGCAGCGAAACTCACAAGCATGTCATCGTTCGTGCGGCAATTTCCGCTGCGTGTAGCCAAGGCTGCACCTCCTACGTACAATATATCTACTTGCCTTAACATTTCAGTCCCAATAACAATGAAGTCACATATAGGGACAGGCTTGGCTTCTGTCGCGAGTTGGCCATGGGAAGCCATTTTCTGAAGGTCATCGGCATCCATCGTTGGGGTGTACACTGCAACAACTATGGGTATGACAAGAGCACCACAAAAGTGAATGAAGGCAATCTTCGGTGATATCGGTTTCCGCTACGTTAGAGAGGCTTTGGTCAGAGCGGTCACGTCACCATGCAAACCAAGGTTGACGATGGCATGGTCGTGACATAGGTGGTAGCACTTATCAGCACCGGGTACTTTAAGGGTGCGCAAGTAACATCCACAGTGTACTGCGTCCAAGTTCTTTTCGCAAAATTATGTTGACGATACAAGAGTTCTCATACTCCTGCAGACAATGTGCAATTTGATCCTTTGTTAGAAAAGGCCAGATTGCATATTTACCGTCCGGTCTGCATCGAAAACGCCCGAACGCGTCGGTCCGGAGAAAAGGGAGATTTGTTTAACAGAAGTTTTTGCTCATGACGTCATCGGAATTTGTAGTCCGTAACCAGAACCCAGTCCTTTACAACATGCCGGCGCAGCAGTGCTGGTCCATGATTATTCGGTCGCCAAACCCGAAAGGCTATTTATTTCGCAAATGACGGCCAATGAAGGCCGTTCCGATATCATTCACCCCTGGACACGGCAGAACGCCAGGAAGACTCAGTCTTCTCAGGGTACGTGTCATATTTAACCCATTGGTAGAGGAGTGCTCACCGATCGTTTCCTACGGAACCCACTCGTCCCGTTTTGCCTTAGGGGTTTTCTCTGAAGCCCAACCGGCAGCCGCATAACGGCGCATGATATAGGTAG